CGTATTACACTTTATGCAGTGGTAGAATCTATATTTATCCAATGGCAAATACTCTATTCACCTTCACGGAGGTGCTTGATCAATTGTGCGTTTTATTAAATACGGATGGTTGTCATGTACAAGACATCAAAGTTCATTACTTTGAATTTGATATTTATTAGACAGTAATAACAGAACATTTGGTGTGATAAACTAAATAACACATAGTTGAGAGGGTGATAGAGCAGGTTGTTACCCGTAGAAAAGACATTTTCAACATTAGCTTCGCCTTGGTTGACAATGTTTTTCGGTGTAACAATCTGCTCTATCATTCTCTCAGCTATGTGCTATTAATATAATTTTAAACAAAAATAAAACAATTTTTTTGATTCTAACTTTAAACGTTAAAATTACTTATTGTGTTTCCTTAAAACATAATAGATTGGAAGTGCAAGGTATACAGATTTTAAACCAATGGAAAACCTTGGAAGTAATTAATAAAGTTAATAAAAAACATATTTTTGCTTTGAACTAATTGAAGGGCATAAAAGTTAAAAAATATTGTTTAACTATGAAATTTAGTTCGTTTATATTGTGTTCGATGTATTCACCCGTATTGAATTGTAAAATATTACGGCTGATAATGTTGATACATGTATAATATAATAGGTTTATCAATGACATCAACATAATCAAACAATGCATTGGTCTGATGACGTAAGATATTTTGTAAAAAATGAATTATTTTATTCAGTAGAGTATACATTTATTTATAATAGGTAAAGAAGGCCATTCCTTAACAACATACCCACTTGAGACTGCAGATGGTACAAAATATTAAAAAAAATCACGATTTGCGTTATATTGCCTTTTTGTGGCAGAGTGTGCTCGTTCCAGCTTTAGTTTCTGTAAAATTTCGTTTGTTGACCAGTTACTAAAATCACAACCTGACGGGTAAGAGTAGTTGCTGGGTGTTTCCTTCCTTTACATTAGTTACCGTCAGAGTCATAACCTACCCGTATTTAATATTAGATAAAATTGAGAATGGAAATGGGGAATGTGTGAAAGAGACAACAACCCGACCAAAGAGTAGAAAACAGCTCAACCACCAATGGGTCTTCAACACAGCGAGAAAATCCCGCACCCGAAGGCAGGCTTCAGCTGGCCCCTTAAACAAAAATGTGTACACTAGTTCAGTGAAAATGGACGTCACACTAAACTTCTAAACATATAAATGAACTAAAATTAAAAAAAAAACATACAAGACTAACAAAGGCCAGAGGCTCCTGACTTGGGACAGGTGTAAAAATGCGGCGGGGTTTAACATGTTTTGTGAGATCTCAACCCTCCCCTATACCTCTAGCCAATGAAGAATAAACAAACACAGCAATACGCACAGTAAAACTCAGTTAAAAAGAAGTCCGAGTCCGATGTCAGAATAGGTAACAGAAGAAACTAAGCAAAATGACAATGATACAAAAATTAACAAAGGACTCCTAGCAGTAACTGACATGTCAGCTCCAGACCTCAACTAAACTGATTGAAAGATTGTCTTCGTCATATGAAAATCAAGTACAATCCCTCCCGTTAGGGGTTTAGTATCCTACCATCATAAAATATATGAGGAGAACATAATCCGTATCATGCCAACAACTGGTTTTGTGTGTTTATTTCCGATGCAAAGACCCTATTAGTGAATCAATAATAATTCCAAAATATGCCATCTTTAATGACCTGACAACAGTATCGTAACTATACCCCTTCTGAATAAGTCCGTTTAAAGGTTTGGTTAGCTTTTGAGGTTAATGACGACATTTTTGAAAATTCTTCTTCTAGATGAATGACATCTCTTGTCTTACATTTTCAACCTTATCCGACCGGCTATTTCACATTGGTTTAGATATATCGATAAGGTATGTTCACATGCCGTTGGACTTTCTTTCTTTGTTTATATAGGGTCCTTGCTACTCCGAATTCTTTTTACAATTTTGGACTAGGATACTAGAACATGTGCTACTGCGGTAGTACATGGGTTATGTACTTGCTTCCTTTTCTCAAAAAAATGAGTATAGGTCATTATACGGCCTTAAACCACGAGCAAAACCCATACCATATTGCCAGCTTATAAAAGGCCTCGAAATGACAAAATGTAAAATAATTCAAACAAGAAAACCAACGACCCTGATTTATGACATAACAATAAAGTTTAAACAATTTTATGACGGACATCAACTAACAACTCACTGCACTACATGCACACGACCTGTTAAAGGCAGACCGAAAGTTTTGCGAAGTTAAACATGTTTGTTAGGGCTAAACCCGACTCTTACTTGGGACAATGAGTGTATACGCACAACCTAACTACAAAAACCTTTTCTAACTACTTTTTAAAGTTTGTACTTTTGATGTGCTATTAAACCACAAAATACATGTACATATTATGTTTATAATATTTCCGGATTGATGTGAAACAGCAATCCATCTATAGGAATCAGTCAAAAGATGGAGTACACATTTATATTCTAATCAATTTTCATTTTGTAATTTTTAAAGTTGTTGGAAAAACATCCGAATATAGACAATATCTAGTTAGTTCAGTTATCAAAAGGTGCAGATTGTCTTTAAATAAGAGATGTTTGCAGAAAGATAAAAAAAAAACATAATGTATAAATTCGCTACATAATATTTTTAGCAGGGAAAACAATTAACCTATTCCCTGCATACTTGCAAATTCTCAAATTATTTTTGTCTTAGATACATGTACATGATTTTTATTTATTAGTTGTTATTGGCTTTGTACTAGCTGTCAGTAACTGCGAGTACTCTTAGATCTGTACTTAGTGTCCTTTTTGTTGTTAGGGATGAGGGATGGATAAATACCCTGCCACGTCCGGTCTGTGTTTTTGTTTGATTGTTCTGCTTTTTATCGATCTGATAAGTTAAGCGTTCTTCAACTGATTTTTATAGTTTGTTCTTATGTTGTGCTGTTTCACTACTTTCCCATGTTAGGGGAAGGGTTGAGTGCTCACAAACATGTTTAACCTCCGCCGTATTATGTATGTACCTGTCCCAAGTCAAGAGCCTGTAGTTCGGTGGTTGTCGTTGGTTCATGTCGGTCACATTTTTTTTTCGTAAATTGTTTTGTTATAAATTTGGCCGTTAGTTTTCTAAATTGAATTGTTTCATATTTTTTTATGTCGGGGCCTTTTATAGCCGACTATACGGTATGGGTTTTTCTCATTGTTGAAGGCCGTACGGTTGACAAACATAAAGTTGATCGTCAATCAATCGCGTTGTTTAAAACAGAAAAAACATCCCAACGCAAAAACTAACCCCGAAGTAGAATTTTCCGTGATCCGCGGGGTTAGTTAAAAAATGTCCCAAAATCTACACGCCTAGCGCGAGTTATTTTTTTTTTTACCTTTGATTAACTATTGAAAAAGTTAAAACCTATAATGCACTAGAAATGTTGAGTTATGGCATTTTATAAATAATTTCGGCTATATACTGATTTTTTTTCTTTTGTTGTACTGTTAAACCACTGTTGATTGTCGTCTGTCATGATTGTTTTGTTTTGTTTAATGTTATTAGCTTAAATTAGACCATTAGTTTTTCAATGCTGTGTTTTTCCTATTTTATTTTCCGGGATCTTTTATATTTTACTATTTGGTATCGGTTTTTTCATTGTTGAAGACCTTGTGGTGGTCTGTAGTTGTATAAATCCATGGTCTTTGGTCTTTTAGTTGACATGTTTTCAATTAAAGGTTATCATACCACATCTCCATATTGCTATAGGGGTAGAAATACGAATAATTGAAGAGTAATAAAACAGCCAAGATCAAGTGCAGAACATTACTCCTGGGAACAAAAACTATGGTGCACTGGTAAGGTTTAGTCTTAACAATTAAGAATAAACTAGTAAATGATTTATGATGGAGACAAGGCCAGAACTGTACACTGGAAAGCTTTTATCGCGGTAATTGATAGCATATATATATCATAGGTGACGAATTCAGAATAGGTTTTGAGATATTTAACAATCACAAAGTAAAAGGGGCAGCCAGAGCATGATCCAATGTACAACCCTACAGAGCACGGGGTTGGAACATAAAAATAAAAGGGGACAGGATGTGACCTCAGAGAACAAGGCTTTTCCAAAAGTCTTATCACCACGATTAAAAATAAATGCGATTTAGGGGAAGGGTCCTTAAGAGTTTCTGGGATATTCAACATATTTTATTTGAGAGAGAGGGAAATGACCCACAAAAGACAAACATTTGGTATAATAGAAAGGTCTAGTCATAAATGTCAAGAACAATGTATGGTTTTAGGGTGAACATCAAATGTTCCCCAAACTCAATTATTGCACGTTGATGTCAAAAGGCACAGTCAAATTCAATGGTATACGACAGAGCGTCTTTGAATAAAGCTTACATGTGCCAAATATCAAACTATTACTAGCATATGTCAACAGATTTAAGTATCAAGAACCAAAAAAGACAATTTCCAAAAATAAGAATTATTTTACCTTTAAAACAAACGTAAAGGTCACACGAAGGACATTTAGATACGCAACACACTGTCCATTGGAGGATAAGGGGAATTTCTAAATTAATTCTTTTTCGTGAATGTTATTGAAAGAAATAGCTTGTCTTTTAATTGAAGTCGATCAAACTTGGTTATCCCGATAACACTCCTACAAAAGATGAACAGTCGGGGCCTTATACAAAAGAAAATTAGAACTTAAAGTTGAACATTGATGAATATAGATTCCTTCGTAAGAAACTGATAGCCGTCATCTCAGAGCATTCTTAGTATGTTATACAATATACATTTTTCATGTTGTGTTGTGTCTCACTGTGATAACTCACTGTGATAAGCAATGAAACCACTCTCAACCTTTTAACAACCGAACATCAAAATTTAATAGTCCCAAAAGATTTTGATATTTTTTTACACCTGTGTCTGCTTTTAATCAAAATGCTGGTGTCATACCTTTAAATTGTAGGAAAAAATAAATATTTTAAATTAACGGAGTGTTACTCCGTGCATATATTTGCACGATAAATTATGTACAAAAACATCACATGTTTTAATTAATTAATACTGTGCACAAGGACAACATCTGACACTGCAGTGATTCCAATTGTCAAACAAGACACAGTCTGCACCAAATATTTTCGGCAACAAAGAGGCATTCCGAATAGCAGTGAAATCAACAGTTTTTACATTGTTATAATCGTCAACAAATTAATTTCATTTTAAATGCTATCATAACTGTTTAACAATAATCATAAAGGATATCACAGTAAAATCTTATTTGCACACATCCCGAATTATGCGTTGCTTGTAATATATGTACAATGAGCACGATTTAAGCTTTAACTTGACCTTCCTTTGATGGGTGTTGTTTCATCCATTTTTTCATTTTTCTAGCGCTGACCATTTCAACTGATCGGTCAGTTACAGTACCTTCTATCAAGCACTCTTTAGAACCATTTATTTTATTTTGGTCGTTTTCAAAACCACTCCATCGTCCTAAACTACTCTCTTTTTCAGGCATTGAATTTTCATGACCCTCTGAATGGGATTTTTGAAATTTCTTCTTCTTTTTATTTTTTGCTCTAGAAACATTGTCTACATTTCGCATTGGCAACAATAAAGCGTGAGTTTGTTGTTGTTCGTGGTTTTGATTTTCTTTAGTACTGTCCTGAAACGATTCTGTTCTCCGTAAACTATATACGTATCCGTTTTCTTTGTCCGGTTTCCATTTATTCGATAAACTCGAATTTCTTGGAGATATTGGTAAACTAGAAGCGTTTCTAAAAATACTTGGTAATTTAACATTGTCTTCTTCGTCTTCCCGTTGGGGAAAATGATTATAGATTCTATTTTCTATAAACGAATCCGTTCTATCCTTATTTATAGAATCGGATCTAGATACTCCAATGTTTGATGGACAGCTCGGAGATCTACAAATTGAGCGTCGGCTCGGTTTACTATCTCTTGAGAACTGACGAGATCCAAGTGTACTTGTGGGACTTGATATACTCGAAATACTCCTGGATTTAGTACGCTCGATTGTTGGAAGTTTGAATACCGGACTCGCACATGTATCCTCATTATCTGGACCACTATCTGGTTTACGATAAGAGTCGGTACTCTTTTCTAATTCATGTTCATTACTGGAGGTGCTTAGTTTTTGTCGGTTCGAAATGGGCGGAAAACACTTTTTTTCTTGCTTATGATGAGACGACATGTTTGCAAACAAAAACTTAGCCTATTCTATTCCAGCTGACATTTCATTCACAAAACCATTTTCTCAACTCCTGAAATGGAAAATAATAAATAATTTACAGATCTCATTGCTACGCTGGAAAGACGTTCAATTAAAAATAAATGACTTCTTCGCGTGGGATAATCCCTTTCAGACAAACTAATGCATGTTTATTATAATATATTCCCATGTGTCGGTGCAATGTTCTACGAAGAAGGAAGTGAATATCAGCTCACAGTGGACAATAGAAACTTATAGTACATAGACATAAAGGGACCACAGACAGTTAACATTTATTAACGTTCCCTGACGGCAAAAGCAGTCCATCAGTCAGTAATTATGTTATTTGAGTGGTACGTTCTTTTATTTGGAATAGAGAGATAGTGACCTAATTTTTCATATACAGCCCTTTTCATTGATTATTGCGTCCATACAAATTAAACTAAAATCAAATCAAAACGAACTTATCAAAATTTCTGCTAATCGATTTTTAAATATATCATTTCATGTAATAGTAAATCACTCCTCATTTAGTGTCATTCTGTATAATAATGATTTATGGAAATTTCACATAATAAAATTTTTCTCTTTTTTTCATTGCTGTATTATATTTCCATTTTAATAACTACATGTATTACTAAAATAACAAAAGTAAGAATCGGACGGACATCGGTAAGTTAATCTAGCAGAATTGTATACGTGAAATGAGTTGACATACTGACCTGATTTGCAGTATAATAAAATATTTTATTTTCATATCGGTTAAGAATAAGCTGCTCTTATTGGATAACAAGGGGCCACATGACATTCTTTATTCTTTACTAAAACAATTGCATCGGTCTTTGCCAGAAAAAAAACGGACCAGAAAACCGGTCGTTAATGGACTTTTACATGTTAATGACCAGTGGGGCGTGGTTTCTCTGCGTAGAGTGATGTCCTTTAATAAAACGCAATCGTGATTCAGACGTTTGGAACATGGCATGTCTGCTACAGACAACTCAAATGATCGTTTTGCCATACTTTCCGATGCTGATAGAGACAAACTACTCAGCAACAAGAATTATAAAATTATAGAAAACTTTATTTTGTATTCATATATATACTGAAAAATTGCACTTAAATGAATGGCAGTGACTTATAGTTATCACTATGACTGGTCTTCACTCTTTCCTGTAGAAATTGTACAATAACTCGAGTTTGCTTTGAACAATTTGAATTTATGAAAATTTTTAAAAACATGGTTCCTCAATGAAATAAACATAATAGTTATTGAAGAACTGGTCATTATCATGATACATGGACTGCCCGTAGGACAGTGGTATTGACTGCGACAGCGATAATGACCTCGTCTACGGCTCAGTCATTATCGCTGTCTTAGTCAATACCACTGTCCTGTGGGCAGTCCATATATCACGATAATGACCAGTTCTTCAATAACTATTATATAAATAAAATAAGACTTACTGGTTGATTATTTTTACGGAATATCGTTCATGGGAAAATGCATGTACCAAGTCAGGAATATGACAGTTGTTTTCCATGCGTTTGATGTCTTTGAGCGTTTGATTTTACCATTTGACAAAGGACTTTGCGTTTTAAATTTTTCTTGGAGTTTGGTATTTTTGATATTTTACTTTTTTCTAGAATTAGAAAAACTGCAATGATTACTACTTTCAGTTTCAAGCTTTTCTTAAACATAGCACTTATAGGCATTGTGATAAATTTTGGTAAAAAAGAAGTGGCAGATTAAGTTTCAAATCTGTTACGGCTCACGCAAATACAATTTATTTTAAATATAATATTTTTTAAAATTGCCATTTCAACATTAATCTATTGTTCACCTTGAAGAGGTAATTGAAAATGATTAAAAGAAAAAAAACAAAAACACGATTTGACTAAAAAATATAAAGTAAAAAGTTGCAAACATATATTTTTAATAACACTGTTAAATTAATTAAATACTACTATACCTACATTCGGTAACTCTCATCTCAATATTTAGTTCTAAAATCTATTTAAGATATACTTAGTAGTATCAACAATATGTAGGTTTAATCATTCTTTTCTAGATTTAAACTTCTTTGACATAAATCGGATTTCTCTATACTAGGATTGACCAGATTTGATAGAATTAGTATTGTTAATATCCATTGGTCCCGAATTAATGACTTGGACATTTTAAATGGATATCGTGGGCCAATAACGGAAAACAATATAAATATTTGACCAACCACATATGTTCACACTTTGCATTATGTTATACGTTCATGGGTTTAATATCTGTGTGTTTAATTGTTAAATTTATTTGATAAACTTGATGCTATTTGAAAACACTTTAAATGTATGTCTTTACACTCTTATTAAAAGACCATTACGTTCGTATCCACTGACCTCAATGTATACTTACTAAAATAACTAACTACTGTTCAATGTATTTCAATTCTTTAATTGAAGAATAATTAATTTCATGCGTATAATAACAAATGAACTAGCCCTTTTCAACTGATTTTTATAGTTTTTTTATGTTGTACTGTTACATCAGTGTCCCAGGTTAGGGGGAGGGTTTAGTGGCAGCTAACATGTTTAACCCCGCCACATTCTGTATGTGCTTGTTCCAAGTCAGGACCCTGTAATTTCGTGGTTATCGTTTGTTGTTGTATATCATATTTGTTTTTGTTTTATTGTTTTGTAAATAAATCAGGCCGTTAGTTTTCTTGTTTGAATTGTTTGTCATTTCTGGGCCTTTTATAGCTTGCTTATGCGGTATGGGTTTTGCTCATTGTTGAATGTAGTACGGTGAATTAAAGTTATTGACTTCTATGTAATTCAGTCTGTAGTGGAGAGTTAATTCATTGGCAATCATACCACATCGTCTTATTTTTATATACAAACACATTATCATTTTGTTTTCAAATATTTAGAACTATTAATTCCATACAAATTGAAAATATCACGCATGTCTTCTCATCCTTTATTGTTTTGTTGCGTTATCAATGACATATACGATACATCCGCTAGTAAGAAAATTTGAATGCATAAATAAAAACAGTTTTTTTAGTCGTAACTTTTTTTCTACAATACAGATGTTCAGATTTGGTTACAACTTCAATTCTTTATCTACACTTAGACACAAGATGTGTGCAACATGAGGACAAATTTTAGTCCAAACACAATAAATGACAATAGACAGGAAACCAATTACAAAAATATACATTCTAAAGATTACAAAACTGTTTATGGATCTATGTAAATGAGTACTATGTGCTTTTTGGTTTCTTATTGACATTTCAATTTAAGAGGCTTCTTGAAGCTAGCTCAAATTTGCCACATGGAAGCTCTAATTAATCCACTATACAGTATGCTTGTAGCCTGCATTCAAACACACTTGTATGATCGACGAATTGAAAACAAATTCATCACTATTTCAGGACAGGATCTAAAAATGTTGATTCCAAAATTAGCATTTCTTTTTTCTTACCTCCCTTGGATATATTTTGAGAAGGTTAACATTTTGCACGTTAAAGGGTCTTATCAACAAACTTTGCACGTACTTCTGTCATTCGGTATATCAAGAAATAGGATCGTGAAAGAATAAGTAACGCTGGTCAAGTATTGCAATAAGGTCGTGAATGATCTGGCAAAGGAAACTTTATCGAGAAGACACATACAAGGTCAATATATAATCTGATTTATTGAATTATAAGGATAAATTTTGAAAAAAAACCAACTGTCTATTAAAATGGTTCAACATTATGATCAGTTTCTTAGAAAATCAGAGTTTAAGATATCATCGTTTTTACAAAACTACAAAGGGCAGATTGCTCTCCAACATTTCAATGACATAAATAATGTAAACAAACATGATTTTGTTTCATTTATGAATGACTACGTTACTATTCTATGAATGACTACGTTACTATTCTATGAATGACTACATTACTATTCTATGAATGACTACGTTACTATTCTATGAATGACTACGTTACTATTCTATGAATGACTACGTTACTATTCTAAGAATGAATACGTTACTATTCTAAGAATGACTACGTTACTATTCTATGAATGAATACGTTACTATTCTATGAATGACTACGTTACTATTCTAAGAATGACTACGTTACTATTCTATGAATGACTACGTTACTATTCTATGAATGACTACGTTACTATTCTAAGAATGACTACGTTCCTAATCTATGAATGACTACGTTACTATTATATGAATGACTACGTTACTATTCTATGAATGACTACGTTACTATTCTATGAATGTACTATTCTATGAATGACTACGTTACTATTCTATGAATGACTACGTTACAATTCTATGAATGACTACGTTACTATTCTTTGAATGACTACATTACTATTCTATGAATGACTACGTTACTATTATATGAATGACTACGTTACTATTCTATGAATGACTACTTTACTATTCTGAATGACTACGTTACTATTCTATGAATGACTACGTTACTATTCTATGAATGACTACGTTACTATTCTATGAATGACTACGTTACTATTCTATGAATGACTACGTTACTATTCTATGAACAATGTCGTTCTCTATTAATGTTTCAAATGGCTCTCAAATTTATTTTGAAGTAGCTCCATCAGAAAATGGTTCAAAATTTTAATATTTGTATAAATTTGGCTCCTTATGAGGTATGGGTTTTGCTCATTGTTGAAGGCCGTGTGGTGCCCTATTGTATGTTTTCTAGTTGTTACTTCTACTTCATTTGATTTCTGGTGGAGAGTTGTTTCATTGGCAATCATACCACTTTTTCTTATTTTCATATCAAGTTCTTTTTTCTGATTTTTTTTTCGGCCTGTTGATAATACAACCGATATTTTCATAGATTTTGCAGTTGAATTGTATTTAATTACTTCCACGATTCGATCGCAATACTTGACCACCATTGCTTATTCTTTCACGATCATTTTTCTCGTATACCGAATGACAGCCGCTGAAATAGTTTTATAAAAAAGTTCGTTCACTTGTGTTTACTACAGATATTCTAATCGATCTTCATTAGGCCAGAT